GCAGGAGCAGAGGGAGAGGGAGAAGCAGATTTCCTGATGAACAGGGAGCCCGATGCAGGACTCGATCTCAGGAACCTGAGATCACTACCTGAGCGGAAGGCAGATGCTTAACCAACTGAGCCACCCAAGGGCCCCCAAAATAAAATCTTAAAAAAAATAAACCAATAAAGAAGGATAGGCTAGTGGTACATACAGCAACAAGGATGAATCTCAAAATACTTTTTCTGTATTAAAAAAGCCAAACGGAAATGAGTATTCCTGCATGATTCCATTTAGATAATATATAAAACTCTGAAACACGCAAACTGATCAAGAGCAACAAAAAAAACATACCAGTGGTTGCTTGGGTAAAGGGGATGAAAAGTACAGGAGGGATGTGAAGAAGCTTTTGGGAGTGAAATGTTCTTTATCTTGATTGTGGTGATGTGTATACATCTATCAAAAGTCATCAAATTGTACACTTTACATATGTGAAGTTCACTGTTCATTACAGCTCAGTAAAACTACTTAATTATTTTTTCTTCTGTAGCAAATTAGCTTGCTGTATCTTTTTACAAAGATTTATTTATTTGAGAGAGAGAGAGCACAAGCAAGGGGAGGAACAGAGGGAGAGGGAGACAAGCAGACTCGATTCAGGCTTGATCCAAGGACCCTGAGATCATGATCTGAGTTGAAACCACAAGTCAGATGCCCAACTGATGAGCCTCCAAGGCACCCCTTGCTTGCTGTATTCTAAAAGATATATGATCACTGTTACATTTGGTGCTTTGGTATCACACTACAAAAGACTTAGAAGTATTGAACAGAATGAGAAACATGGTCAAAGGGCAGCTGCCTTGTGGGTTAAAAGAATGTAAAAATAACTTCAGTCATCTGAGAGGTTAGTACAGAAAGGGGAAGCAATTTTAGAGATGCTAATTATTCCTCATTTCATAAATTATTTCTACATATATTTTGTTCCTGACCTGTTTTGTTCCTTGAAGTTAAAGTTATTTTAAACTTAAAATTTAAAAGATAAACAAACACACACATTTCATTGAGGGAAGAGATTGCAATCACTGTGACCAGTTACTATCAGATACTGTGGCATGGTTTGTAATATAAATTGGGGTGAGAGAAGGCAAAAAAAAATTTAAGGTAATAAGACAAGGGTATTACTTTTCAATAAATAAAAGTCAAACACGTATTAGAGAGGAAAATGGATTTCTCTTTCTTTTATAGACAGAACTATGGAAGAAAATTTTTGTGAAGACAAGATGTTAGCTCAGGTCATGATCCCAGGGTCCTGGAATCGAGTCCCACATCGAGCTCCCTGCAGGGAGCCTGCTTCTCCTTCTGCCTATGTCTCTGTGTCTCTCATGATTAAATAAAAATGTTTTTAAAAATAAAATAAAAAGGTAAAGAGAATTCTATAGAAGATAGGAATAGAAGATACAGAGGCTTCAAAACCCCTAGACTCAACATAGAGTGCCCAAGGAAGTTACCCCTCCCTGAAAGCTGAAATCCAGATCTTTTGGAGAAGTCAGGGTCATGACTAACTGGATAACAGAGAAGTCATTGTGGTGTCACAGCAGCAGAATTTGCTGGAAATCCGCTGATAACTTGCTTGAGAAAATCTGTTCCTCTAGGATTCCTGGGAAGCTGTTCACAGGGAGGTGTGTCACAAGAGGCACGCTGCTATAAAACCACTCAAGATGGGTGCCAAGGGAAGCTTCTGGATGATGGATGCTGCCAGCTTCGGTGCACTGTGGGACCTGTGTGCTGAAGAAGTGGCACTAGTGAAGTCCAGCATCTAAATGAGCCTGCTGAGCAAGCATATCAGACCATGATGTGAAATCCTTTCCTCCTGCAATGGCTCTTCAAACACCTCTTACAAAGCTTGACAATGAAGCTAGCAGAGGACAATTTAAAGGGTTCTGACCCATTTTCCCACTGCAGGTGAAAAAGGGTAAATTTGAACCTGAGAGTCAAGGAAGCAATAACTGGCACAGGAATTGCACAAAGTGATGAAGGCCTGGGAGGTGACCATATAGCACAGCTCACATGTGCCCACAAGGTTCTGAGAAACAAAGGAGCTAAGTGCTGGTCCTCCTCAGCCCTCCAGCCATGGGGTTTTGGATCAGCTGCTATCTCTCTGCAGATACAGTTTAATATATGCTCTGCATCCTACTTGTATTCCCTTCAGAAAACTATGGGGGGGCACCTGGGTGGCTCAGTCTGCTAAACATCTGACTCTTGGTTTTGACCCAGGTCGTGATCTCAGGGTCATGAGATCGAGCTCCTGCTCGGGCTCCACACTCAGCATTGAGTCTACTTGAGATTCTCTCTCCCTCTCCCTCTGCCCCTCCCACTAATGTGTGCTCTCTCTAAAAGAAATCAATCTTTTTTAAAAGAAAGAAAGAAAACAATGGTATCTCAGGCAGGAAGGAATATCCTCATCTTCCATGTTCTTCAGCTCTCACTGGCTGTATTTATAATGTGGCTTACTAGGGGCCAACAAGGGTTTACCAAAAAGTGATGGCTTGAGCAGACTAGCAGTATTGTCATTTACCCGGCTTACCCTTCCCCAGGAGGCAACCAAAAAGAAAAGAAAGGGAAATGTCAGAAACATTTATTAAGTATTCTTTACCACATAAGCATTTGTATAAACTCTATACCTATACGGATATATTTTATACACGTACATTTTACAGCAGAGGCATCTGAAAATTAGTGACTTGTCCATGTGGCAGAGCTGTGACTTCAACTCCTACCTTCTGATTCCAGTTCCAGAGTTCAGTTCACTAATCCACGTGGAATACTGGCTCCGCATAAAGATCGCCAAGACAATCTGTTGATAAGACAAAGCTGAGTTTATTCTTACTGCAGTAAAAGAGAGCAACCTTGACAGAATTTTGGGTGGGGAGGAGAAACCAAGCTGTTATGAGATATTCGAGTCTAGCTTCAGGAAGGCCTTTCAGTGGAGAGTCTTAGGATTAGGTAAGGATGGTGATGTAATAATTTAGGATGGGTGACTATGAAGTGAGGATTTTTAAGGCAAAGAATTCAGAGTCTGGAGGAATAATGTATCGTTCAGGAAGTTCCCAGAATGAGCAATAAAGTTATTTGCAACTATTATCTTATTGAGCAAGAGTCTAGCTGAGACAGCAAGTTAAGGTGAAGACAGCAAAGTATGAAGTAACAAAGTCACATTAATGAGGTAACAGTAAGCTCTGTCGCTTTATATGGTTTGGGTTGTCATGCATAAAGGTTTCTCTTTTCTCCGTCTCAATGCTCAAATTTAAGCATGATGTATGACAAGTTATTCTGTTAGTGGAATGATCATTAACCAATTTCAATATTAAGACCGCTCAGCATAATGACTAACTCTTACATAGTCCTTTCTATGTGCTCTTTATATCCTACTCATTGAAATCACTGTGACTCTATGAAGTAGGTAGTATTTTCATCCACATTGTATAGACGGCAAAGTGATGCACAGAGAGGTCAAGTAACTTACTTCAGTTTACAATGCATGAGGCAATTGAGTTGGAATTTGAATCCAGGCAGTCTAACTCCAAAGTCCTTTTGAGGACCTAATTAGTATACTAATTATTCCATGTTAGGGGTTTACGGTTACTGCTCCTTCAATTCATCTGCAATTCATATCATTCAGATCAGAGAGGTGATTCAGATTAATCTATTGCCCAAGGTCATCTAGTTAATAAGTTATGGCCTTCAAACTAAGTTTGCAGACTTCCTCACCCGAGCAATTATTTTCCCCATCACCTCCCTTCAATTTGGCCTCCCACAGCTACCTCTTGATCTCCAAAGAACAATGAACACGGGTGCCTCAGCGGTTGAACGTCTGCCTTTAAGCTCAGGTCGTGATCCCGGGGTCCTGGGATCGAGTTCCACATTGGGCTCCCCACAGGGAGCCTGCTTCTCCCTCTGCCTGTGTCTCTGCCTCTCTCTCTGTCTCTTATGAATAAATAAATAAAATCTTAAAAAAAAAATAAAAAAAGAGGGATCCCTGGGTGGCGCAGCGGTTTGGTGCCTGCCTTTGGCCCAGGGCGCGATCTGGAGACCCGGCATCGAATCCCACATCGGGCTCCCGGTGCATGGAGCCTGCTTCTCCCTCTGCCTGTGTCTCTGCCTCTCTCTCTCTGTGACTATCATAAGTAAATAAATAAAAAATAAATAAAAAAATAAAAAATAAATAAAAAAAGAACAATTAACAAATCCATTAAATATTGTCCGACAAAGACAAAATACACCCAAGAAAGCGAATTCTGTATTGTTAGGGATCTCTGCAAGTTAGAGCATGGATTGAATTCTGATTGCTTCTGTAAAATAGAATAAGAAAAAAAAAGAATTTTCATGTTCTCATGGCTTTGGAATAGCTTCACTAAATGACTTTCTTTAAAAGGAGTGAGTGAAAGTAACAATCTTTGTCTTAGAACAAATATTTAACTTTTATAATAGAAATGTAAACAGAGCAATGATTTGTGATTTCTCAATATGTTCTTTCTTGCTGAAGGACATTTAACTAGTTGTGACCTATAGTCAGGATAAGTGTAGTGCAAACTTAAAATTTCCAACAGTAAGGACACATAAATAGGAAAAATAAGCCTTGAGTGAAATCTTATTTGGCAAAGAGCACGGCACCAGTGAATTTCTAATGCTAAAGATTTTTTTGCCATTAATTCGGGAACTAAAGCTTTATGGAAGTCACTAGAGCTGACCTTCTCCTATCCTTTAACAGGATAAAACTCTTGTCTCTTTTAGTTGATGGGCCCTTTCTTCGGACTCTAAAGTTGATGGACAAGTTGCTAGATAGTCTGAGCGCCAGGGGAAAACCAATAGGCGTGCAACTTATAGACCATTGCCAATAAAAATGTAACCTTTCTTTGTTGTGCATTTCACAAGCAGATTACATAACCTTTTGGGGATATGTCATCACCACCAATAGCATTTTTTTTTATTTAAGTTCTTATTTTAATTCCAGTTAGGGAACGTACAAAAATATGGAACTTTTTGCAAATTTGCCTGTCATCCTTACACGGGTGCCATGCTCATCTCTATATCGTTCCAATTTTAGTTTATGTGCTGCTGAAGGGAGCATGACAGCAAGCATATTTAAATAACAGATGCTAGGGCACCTGTGTGGGTTAGTTGGTTAAGCATCTGCCTTTGGCTCAGGTCATGATCCCAGAATCCTGGAATCGAGCCCCACATTGCGCTCCCTGCTCAGTGGGGAGCTTGCTTCTCCCTCTCCCTCTGTCTGATGCTCCCCTTTGCTTGTGCTTGCTCTCTCTCTCTCTCTGGATCTCTCTCTTTCTCTCCTCTCCCCTATCAAATGAATAAATAAAATCTTAAAAAAAAAAACATGTTAACTATGCAAGGCTTTTTGGTAAGTGTAGTTTGATTTGGGCTTTGTTTCTTCCCTTCTTTCCTCATGGCAAATGGGGGAGGGGGGTAATAAGAGAGAGAGAGGCAGGGGTAACAGGAATGTTCTAGTGGGCCCACTTGGAGAAAGGCACGCAGGTGCTTCCTGTTCATCCCCCCAGCCCAACACACACCCACATTGTAGAAAGAGCCCCATGTGGATGAAAGAAGCTCTTTATGTTGCCTTAAAAATGACACAGTAATTATGTGTTTCTCAGTTGCCTCTCCCTAGATTTACATGCCCAAAGCCATGCAAAATTTCCACTCCTTAAGCCACCCTCTTCATCCCCTACTCTCTTGATATCATTTCCTTGTGAATCAACCACTGTGGAGGCTGTCACCTGGTTTCTAATATAGCTCGCCTTTAAACCAAATTAAAAAAAAAAAACAGTACACTGGAGAAAAACTGCACATCAAAGAGCAAGTGAATATTTGCTAAGAGACTGTGATGAGCCCACAGCTTTCCCTGATTCCAAGTAGATCCTATACAGGAAGTGCCCTCCCAAGCAGGAGACTCTCACCCTGTTCTTTACTGAAGAGGGACTCTCCCATGTGGGACAGCCACCTCAGCCTTGACACTTTGCCCATCCCTCTGAAATGCAACAAATCAGTATTTTGTCTCCACTTTAAAGAGTGAAACATCTGGAACTGGGAGGCCAAAGATAAATCCTTAAGTTCTGGCTTAGTGGCCACTTCTCTAAGTTGATCGCTCTTGTTCATGATTAATCTCTCCCATTTTTAAAAAAGATTTTATTTATTTATTCATGAGAGACCCAGAAACATAGGCAGAGGGACAAGCAGGCTCCCTGTGGGGAGCGTGATGCGGGACTCGATCCCAGGACCCCGGGATCACGACCTGAGCCAAAGGCACATGCTCAACCGCTGAGCCACCCAGGTGCCCAGGATTTGTATTTCAAGTCAAATTGCATTCTCCGTTTCTTTTCCTACCTGAACCTAAAGAGCAGATTTTGTGTGCGTGTGTCTGTGTGCGTGTCACGCATATACACCTCAAAAACGTGTTAACTCACACCATTTGTCAGTGAAGAGTGATGAGAGATGTTTCAGCAGGAGTTCTTGGGAGCGTTAGGAGTTTCTCAGGAAGCATGTGGGGCATGGAGTACTGCGGTGACATATTTTCCCCCTAGGAATGTGATCCCGTTGGTGGATGAAGGATTCCACAAAAGAGCAAAAGCACTGATGCCGACATAGGGCCAGCAAATACATCTTAGAAATTTTAAATGGGGGAGGGGAGATCAAGGGTTTGAGCAATTGGGAGTCCTCTTTGCTTCCAGGCTCAACCCAGACACAAAACTAACTTAAAAGGTTTTCCTTCAGGCAAAACTAGACATACCATCAGCTTGAGATTATAAAGCCACATTCATCCTCTCCAGATTCCAGCATTCCAGCTCCTCTGGCTCACCTTGGGACCATCCTGTGTAATCCCAGGAGTGGCCGTTTCCCTGACATTCTATGGCAGACCAAATACTGGTCATCCTCAAATGTCCATGTCCTGACCTCTGGGGTCTTCACATAGGTATCCATACATGGCAAAAAGGAATTGAGGTTGGGGGTTGAATTAAGACTGCTAATCAGTTGACATCCTAATAGGGAAATTCTCCTAGATTATCTGGTGGGCTCAGTGTAATCAAGAGGGTCATTAAAAAATGGGAAAAAAGACTGTCAGAATGATGCCATGTAAGAAAGATTGGGCTAGCCTTGCCCACCTTGAAAATGGCCTGAGTCAAGGAATGCCAGCGGCCTCTGCGAGCTGGAAAGAGCAAGAACACAGATTCTCCCCTGTGGAGCCCCGAGGAGGAATACAGCCTTGACAGCAGCTTGATTTAAGCTCAGTGAGATCCATTTTGTACTTCTGACCTCAGAACTGTAAGGTAATAAATGTGTGTGGCTTTAAGCCACTAGGTTTGTGGTGATTTGTTACAGCAGCCATAGGGAATTAAAACAGGGCCCATGTGACTTCTTAGCAATATTTTTCATTTATTTTTCTTTACTCTATTAAAGTATTGGATTTATTATTGGATTGGATTTTTTACTCAAAAACGAGGTTTTCTGTCCTTCCTCACCAATCCTATCTAAGATTATAATGTAATATGCATTCTTCCCCAGGTTTTTTAATGAAAAATTTCACTTTGCAACTTAATCTCTTTCACTTAAAATTCTATGGATGTTTTTCCAGGTCCGTTCAGATGTAACTTAATATAAAAGTTAAATGTTTATTCTTTTGATCAGAGCAATATAAAGAAATTTACAGAAAAGGATAAACTTGGGGCGGCCCCGGTGGCTCAGCAGTTTAGCGCCACCTTCGGTCCAAGACCTGACCCTGGAGACCGGGGATCAAGTCCCACGTCAGGCTCCCTGCATGGAGCCTTCTTCTCCCTCTGCCTGTGTCTCTGCCTCTCTCTCTCTCTGTGTGTCTCTCATGAATAAATAAATAAAATCTTTAAAAATAAAAAACAAAGGATAAACTTGAGACAAGAAACATAAAGAAAAAAATATTAACCCATGATTCTACAATCTGTGTAAAGTCTGCTGATAATTGTAAAATATCATTAAAAGATATTAATAGGGAGAAAATCCATACTGTGTGGATTAGTTCAAGATATTAAGTAAGAGCCTCCCTCTTTTCCTTCGTGAATATTTGTTCAAAGGCAACTACTACTCAAGGCTTCTTGTGTTTTCTTTTAGATTTTGGAAATATGTGTGTGTTTGGGTATGTGTCTATCCCACACATATCGGAGTCCATTCATGATTGTGTACCTTGCTCTTTTCTTCTTAATTTATGCTATAGATCTTTCCCAATGTGACATACACAGTCTCTTTTTTAGTGGTCTTATTCTGTCTGAAGGCTATTTCCAATTTATTTGACCAGCTTCCAATTAATAAATGTGTTAGTGATTTTTTTTCCTCTATAATAATGTTGTAATGAACATCCTTTTGAACACACTTTGAAGAACTTTTACAAGTATACACCTAGGGTACATTCCTAGCAGTGACATTTCTGGAAGCATTTAAATGATTGTTGGCTATTGCCAAACTGCTCTCCAGAAATCACTGTATCACTTGACACTTCCTCCAACACAATATGGCAATGCCCATTTCCCCCAACTCTCACCATCACTAGATACCATCATATATTTTTATTACTAACCGTATAAGTGATGCATAGCATTTTATTATTTTGATTTTCATTTCTTTAATTATGAACAGGGTTGAGGTAATAATACTTCTGACATTGAGTTGCTCTGCTTGATGATTCACATGTTCATTTGGAGGACTGACAAGTCTGTTTATGACAAAATAAGTACTGTTTGTGTATCACCTAAATATTAATTTGCAACTGACGAGTTCTGTGACTTCGAGCAAATCTCCTTGGGCCTTAGTGTCCTCATTCTCACAATTAGGTTGAACCAGACAATCTCCAAGAATATACCTAGTTCCAAGTCTACAAGTTGAGTTGATAGAAGAATAAAGATTCAGGGGCACCTAGCTGGCTCAGTCAGTAGAACATGTGACTCTTCATCTCAGGGTTGTGAGTTTGAGCCCCATGTGGGGTGTAGAGATTACTTAAAAAATAATAATTTTTTAATAAAGGATCAAAGTGTATCACAATTACAAACAGTAAATGTCTGAGTCCATTTGAGCTGTTATAATGAAATACCATAGACTGGGTAGTTTATTTTAAAAATTTATTTCTCACACTTCTGAAGACTGGGAAGTCCAAGATCAAGGCACCAAGATTCATTGTCTGGTAAGAGCCCACTTCCTGGTTCATATGTCCTCTCACTAAAACCTCACAGGGCAAGAGGAACAAGGGAGCTCTCTGGGGACTTTTACAATGGCCCTAGTCCCATTTATGAGGGTGCCACCCTCATGACATAATAACCTCCCAAAGGCCTTGCCTCCAAACACCATCACAATGGGGATTAGGTTTCAACATATGAATTTGAGAGGCAGAAACATTTGGTCTATAGCAACAAATAAGCCACAATGTATGGATGTTAAAAAAATAATAAGAAGAAGAATGCACAACCCCAGGGAAGAATCTTATTTATCCCTGACTTTTTAAATGTATTTTCATATTTTTATGTTTTAACTTTCTAGTTAAATGGTAGAGAGTCAAACCAAAATGTTTAAATGAAGGGAGAAACCTTCATTTAAAAATTATTTCTTGGGGGCAGCCCAGGTGGCTCAGTGGTTTACTGCAGCCTTCAGTCCAGGGTGTGATCCTGGAGATTCGGATCGAGTCCCATGTCGGGCTCCCTGCATGGAGCCTGCTTGTGTCTGCTTCTCTGTGTCTCTCATGAATGAATAAATAAATAAAATGTTTTTTAAAAATAATAAATAAAAAATAAAAATTATTTCTTGGGATGCCTGGATAGCTCAGTGGTTGAGGGTCTGCTTTGGCTCAGGTCATGATCCCGGGGTCCTGGGATTGAGTCCCACATTGGGCTCCCTGCAGGAAACCTGCTTCTGTCTCTGCCTATGTCTGTGTCTCTCTCTGTGTTTCTCAATAAATACAATCTTTAAGATAAATAAATAAAAATCTTAAAATAGATAAAAATTATTTCTTATTTATCAACAAGTTCCTTTCCAAATCTGTGGCTTACACTATGAATTTTATAAGGCTATTATGAACATTGTTCAACCATATCAATTGTT